TACGCGTTCGGCGAGTCCTGGCCCACACCTGCCCACATAAGTGAGATGTCTCCTGGTGACTTGTGCACCTTCCTAGAAATGGCAGGATGGACAATGAGCTAAGGGTGACAGCTCCCTGGGAGGATGCACAATGGGTCAATTGTCGCCTAAATGCTGTGAAACTCAACTCGCCCTCTCTACTCTACAGATACAGATACAGATGTACAAGAAACAAATAATGACTCATCTGGTGCTAAATCGAAATATTGCTGTTGATGGAAGGGATATTATGCAGACTACATTGTATAAGTACCTAGGACATGAAATTCGGTTGGGCAGAGATAGCCAGACATGTGAGCTCTCACGTTGCATAGGATTAGCCTGGGCAGCGTTTAGTAAATTAAACTATGTATTTAAATCGGATCTACTCATATGCCTCAAAAGGAAAATCTTTGACCAATGTGTGTTACCTTAATCACTTATAGAGCGGAAACATTAACACTCACAAAAAAGGTAATTAATAAGATTCGCGTGAGTCAGATGGCTATGGATCGCCAGATGTTGAGTGTCTCTCTGAGAGACGGAATCCCAAACGAAGAAATATGTCGTAGAACAAAAACAACAGACGCTATCGAAAAAAGCGCGTCGTTAAAATGGAATTGGGCAGGACACGTCGCCAAATTATCAGACAACTGATGGACAAAACGCATTTTAGAGTGGAGACCAAGACAAGAAGCAATACGGAACAGAGAACGCCCATCAACTAGATGGACTGACGACCTGAAGCGTGTTAGCAATAACTGGATGCAAACTGCATAAGACAGAGACAGAGACAGAGACAGAAAAGAGCTGAGGGAGACCTACGTCCAGCAGTGGACGCATACAGGTTGATGATGATGATGATGATGATGATAATGATAACTACTCAGTCGAATGTGACGAATTAATGGTTGGAGACGAAGGTCATTTCGACCTTGTTGTTCCTTGCAGTAGGCAGTATATAGTGCCAAAACATTTTACTAGATAGATCGGAAAATATTTCGTGATTCTTTTTCTTTTGTCTGGTAATAGGTTCATCAGCAGAGTGGTTTTGAATTATATCCACAAGCTAACATCTGATGTCAAGGTAGCAGGAGGCATCCTTCTCTCAGCGAGCAGATGTTTGGCATCCTGGTGAGTTAAAGGGGTCTCCTGGCTTTTTGAGCAGCGAGGTGACCATGCCGCGTGTGTGCCTTTGCAATTGTGGAATTTGGGTATTTTTTTATCTGGGGGGCAGTGTTAATGCGTATGGGTGATGAAGTTGCTTATCTTGATGCATTTGATTAAATACTTTCGCTGTTCTCCTTGCACACATTTTTAAAGGGGGATTAGTCTGCTGGTTTCCTTTTAGATTGTATAACCTGTTAGTAACAATTCTCTCTGAATCCATTAGTTTGCGTTGATTAGTCCTTAAATGGGTTGATTACGATAAATCTACTATTGTAATCTCTCTCGAAAGTGAAAGCAACATGAATTTCACACATTTTACATTATTTGTTTCAAGAGCTCTGTTCATATTATTTAATGTTTTTCTGCTGTGACTAAAATGTATATTTCTTTTGAAATTGTCTTTACTTGTACGTATTTTTCTTCTAGTTCCATGACTGTTATAGACCGTTAAATATCATGTTGCTTACCATATTCTCTATCGTAATTTTATCGAGAGCAGCTCTAAATAGTGATGTCGATTTTACGTACCATTGTCTTAAAATTTTCAGTCATGATGTTCTTCTTCTACCAGGACTACATTTACCTTGGATATTTCCCTGAATGATCAGATGTAATAGTTTATATGTTTTAGGGTGTCTCATAATGTGACCGAAGTATTTCAGCTTGCGTGCTATTATTATACTAACCAGTTGTGTTGTTTAGTTCAGACGTAATAAAATCGGGCTCAAACCCCATGCAAAATATATAATTTATCGATACAATCATGTTGTTTATGTATATCTATGCGTATGTATTAAAATATAAATAAAATTAATTTGGGTATCTTCCAAAACTGGATAATTATCGATACCGAATTCTGTTCAAATTATTTTCTGGGAGACAATTTAATAGCAAACTCCATTTTTTAATTATATGCCAGTTTGTTCTAAATGACACCTCATTAATATTAATAAATACTAAATACAAAGCGGATTATCTGCCAATAATTCAGTTCTATAATATAAGATATTTCAGTTTTAGTTACATGACGCGTAACGTTTCACTTTAATGTTTAGAAGGCGACTGACGCATTGCGCAATAGATCTGCCTAAGCAAAGTGGTGACTCAAATATTATTTAAACCAGCCCAATGCCATTTCATGGACTTTTTTAAAATAATTTTATGGCGGCTTGACAGAAAAATAGACAATTTTTTGATACCAATATCTCAAAAATCAAATCTTTACACTTACGCCAGTTTGATTTTACAGCGATGTGTTCTTGGGGAACACAAAGATATTCTCAACCCCTACACGACGGACATAGGAAACGTTCTATGTATAAATAGGACAGGTGTGAATAATATAACAAAAAAAACACCCGTTGATCAACTGAGAACATGGCATAGTAACTGCAGCTATGTCATTATTTAAGACTTGTCAATTAAACATGACACAGGTACACAAACACACGAACACACATACACAAAAAACACGTACACACAGATACACACTTACTATGGTCAATACTGCAACTACAGCGTTCTCTAGTCCCGATGTGTAAGACTATAATGCCCAGGAGATGAATGATATAGGGCGAAAATGTTGTCTTAGACAATACCCCAGAGAGCTGGCAACTCTGGGAGATAAAAGCCTTAGCTTAGGACCGTGCCCGATAATAATTCGTTCCAACACATGGGAACAAACGTGGAAAAAAAATGCTAAAAAACGAGTTTCCCCTCAGAAGAGTGCTCTGAAATACTCTTCTAAGCTTAGAATACAATCACAACAAGAATGATTTTAGAGGAGACCTCAGTAGCGGCGGATTCTGTCGATATGGAGTATAGCAAATCCACATAAAACCAAACCAGTAAAACCCGAGGGTAAAAAGGGACCTCGAGAGCACACGAGCACACTAGGTTATATAGCAATGTCAAAAAAGTATTCAGGATGGCGGTGGCACATAGACATCATTCTGATACTCAATTAGATCATGCACAAGCAGGTCTGATCATCAACACACTGGAACAAGCATCAGATGCGGCTCCAATCGGAGGTAAAATTCTACTACTACAGTCCCATAAAACATGTTCATAAACTGTGCTAAAGAGTATATAAAATATAAATAATACCTACGGGTATCATTTATATTTATAATGGGTCAATGTGGTCGCCAATATTTCTAGAAGATAGGCACATTTAGATGAAGATACTCAGATGGTAAGGCCTATAAAGCACTAGTGGGAGGAAGTAGACTTAAATGTAGTCGATCTCAATAATATACTCAAACATACCATATGGACCATAGCCAATCGATATAAAACTAAAGTGAGGGCACCGGCAAAACCCGCTGGTAAAAATAGATAACGTGAGAATACCTTTACCCCCACAACAAAGAGTCTCCGAAAAAGAAGCTCTAAAGAGCATACTAGGTGATATAACAATATTACAAAATTATTCAGGATGGCGGTAGAATACAGACATCATTCTGATAATTAACTAGATCAGGCTCAAGAAGACTTAATCATCAACAAACTGGAATAAGCAGTAGATGCGGCTCCTATCGGAAGTCAAAATCAACTACTACAGTTCCATAAAACATGGGTAACCGCAGGGAAAGTTTGCTAACGAGAATATAAAACAGGCCTGCTATGATGGCAGGGACTGTAGAGAATGAGTGGGAGGAAGTAGACTTAAATGTAGTCGATCCCAATAATATGTCCAAGCGTTGCATGGTCCCGCTTCTCTGAGAACGAGTATGATGAAGCAATTATCAAGACCCGTCTAAGGAAGCAAAATCAAGGGATTAAGACAAAAGACTGTTTGTTGAAAAATAGGAAGATCGGGAAGGACGTACAAATCCTAGTCTACATGATCAATGAAGTCTTCTACAAAGCAGGACTTAAACAGGTATTGTGATATTATCATAACAGTGTTATTATCCTAACAGTTGAAAACGATTTCCGGAGTGGAAATAGAAACGTCGAATACGAATTATAAAATGTAATTTTCATTACAACCAATTGTCGCTTAATCCTATAGAAACATAATATTCAATTTTGTTTTGTTTTATATAACTCGCGAAGTCTTAAATATATTTCGTGGATAAAAAACTATTGGTTTATTTTTTTTATTTTTAGTTAATCTGTTAATTTTGTACTTACATTATCTATTGGTTTCACAGATAGTTTATAAATTTTATACTTCATATCCATTTCGGCCCTTCATTCAACACAATATGTTATATTATGTGTATGTAATTCTTTGGTAATTTTTCTTCAATATGCTTTTTAAGTTAGGTAATTACCCTTTGTAGTATCGCTTTACAAATTTTCTACTTATGTTTTTTACCAATCTTTGTTGATAAATATAACTTGTATATTCATGGCCTTTTCTGTACTACTTTTATGTCACTGGTAAATAAGGTTTTCTGTCGCGTCTTATGCAATTTTGATGAAAATTAATTTATGACTGTTTATAACGTTTTTATTTATAGAATGCAAGTGTCTTTTAAATAGAATGCAAAGGTTAAACAAAGATTAAGAAATCATTAGACAGGACTAGGAAGGAGAAAGCAATCGATTTTATAGATCGAAATGTGACTTTTCTTTAAAAGCGGTAGCAGAGCCTGTGAAATATGCGCGAATAACTCCAATATCATGTATATAATAATCCAATACGGCGACTTTTAGACTACACTTTTATATGTTTATAATATTATACCTACATATTTTTTGTATATGCCATCTAAATACATAATTTTTTCCTGTATAATTTATTTCTAGAAAAATCCTAATATATATAATAAACTCAGAAATAATTTTTAATTGTTTAGGGTGCCGTACCTGCAACAATAGCAATAGTAAATGGAAAGATAAAAGTTGGACTATCGGAGAAAGATATAAATAAACTAGGTGATACAAAATCAAGTCAACCCATAAAAACTTCGAGAAGAGATTTGGCTTATGTCATGAGTAATAAGAAAAACGGTGGTACCACAGTTTCAGGAACTTTGATCGTTGCCAATAAAGTAAATATTCCCATATTTGCTACTGGAGGTAAGACATATTTTCTTGAATATTATGTGCTAGTATAAATTTGGTGGTTGGTGGGTATATTTTAACCCAGATAGGTCTTGGTACTTTTTTTCAAAAATAATTGTCCTTTTAAAAGCCCGGTATCATAATCAATGGCTATGATTAACAAAAACTAAAAGTGCACAAAAAGTTAAAGATTTTGATTTCCAATTATTATAACAATTAACGTAACAAATCTGATATATCTATGTTACTTGATATTTATAGAAACATTGTTTTGGATGTAGAGCTACACTAAACAGGCGATTCACGTTCTGAGTTTTAGTCCGACTAATGGTCCAACTTCCGCAGTTGGATCTGAAATCGGACCGTGAGTGGGATGGTTGGATTAGTGTACACCTACATTGGAACCGTATTTCTCCCGATCCGATATCGGGTGACGTCGGCCGACGCGACGTCGGATTGAAAACAAACTCAAGGTATTAAATCATAGTGCCTATACTGCTTCCATGACGAAGCATTATAGGCACTACGATTTAATACCTTGAGTTTGTTTTCAATCCGACGTCGGCCGACGTCGCCCGATATCGGATGGGGAGAAATACGGTTCCAATGTAGGTGTATAAGGTCGATTCAGACACATCAGTCCCGTCACAGTCTCGGCACCGAACCGGTCCTGTTTGGTCACAGAACTATTAATTATTTGACAGCTGAGGAACTGTTTGTTGCCTGATGAATGTAAATGCCGGCGCCATATTTCTATTAAAGAATATTTTGTATGACGGATTGTTCGGTTTGGCGCCAGGACTGTGACGAGATGTGACTGATGTGTCTGAATCGACCTTTAGTTGGACAACTAGTGGTACGAGCCGGAACATCTAGAGGGACGACTTGAATGTCCGGATTCCGACAGGCGACGAAGTGGGAGCGTGAATGGTGAAGTTGGAAGTCGGTCATTTGACCTTCGGCATCTGTTACGTATGAGATTTATATAAATTACTTTACGCAACGATTCCTAGTTCGCAAATATTTAACCCTCTGTTAGTCGCTAGGAAAAACTGAGCACCAAAAGTCGCTACGGTGTCAGAGACCGACAATAAAAAAAAATAGTTTTTAATATAAAACTTATACAAATATTTTATATTGTGTATAGGAATAACTGAAAAATGTTTTTGAAAATATTTTATTGAAAAAAAAAACAGATACAAAATGAAAAACACTAGTGTAACAATAAATTGTGAATATTGTTCTCAAGCTATTTTCTTGTTGCATTTTAAAGTAATTACTGTTTAAATGGGAATAAGCCACAATTAAAGGTTAAAGTAAGTTTATTGACGTTTTAATTTCCACTTCGGATATCGTTCTCAAAATACAAACATTAGTTTTTATTACGTACTATGTAATTTTTTTGTCTTGTTCTAACATTTCACAGTGGAATAGCCTTTTTCTATCTAGTAACTCTATATTTTCTAATAAACGCTAAGGTATTACTTCCACTTTCTTCTTCCTCATCTGTCACATCTTGTTCCGATTCACTTCCACCATCACGTTCCTTAATTTGATCGATTTCGCTTTCACTTCCCTCATCGTCAAAATAATTTTCATCGTCGGTAGGATCCATTGTCCCTAATGCCAACAAGCGTTGGATTCAAAGTTGTTCGGCTTCAAAGGACATCTATAAATAAGAATTGACAAAAACTTACCGATAAAATGCAATAATAAATTGATAAATATTTACCTGTTCTGCAAATTCTGCAATAAGTAATAGCTACACCGTCAGTCGCTATGGAGTCTGGCACCGAAAATAACTATAAAACTCACACAACTGTACCCAGGAAGGTAAGAATGTACACTAACACGAGTTTGGTTGATAGGGAGAAGTACAGAAAGTAGCGATAGAAAAATAACAGTTTTTTTGTAAATCCAGAATGAATAATTCTATCGTCGGTAAGTGAGACCGATAGAGACTAACGGAGGGTTAAGAGAAAATAAAGTTTCAATTGCACGAAAATTACCACTATTAAAATACACGATTCTTCATCATCATCAACTTTTTGTTAGGGCAAATCATTTTCATTTCTGTAAATCGATTTTGGACACTCCCACACAGGTACAATTTTTAACATACCGGATTGGCAACAGAAGAATTATCAACAAACAACGACAATTAAATTATAGTGGTACTGAAATTAGAAGTAATGTTTCTTTATATTGTTCTGAAGTTATTTTCTTGTGGCATCTTTTGCAAATTTACTATTTCAATTGGAAATAAGCCTGAATTTTAGTTAGAAATTAAATTTATTTGACGTTTCGACTTCAACTTCGAAATATTTTAATAACGATTTCCGAAGTGGAACTCCAGACGTCAAATAAATTTCTAACTCATATCGTGGCTTATTACCAATTAAAATAGTAAATTTATTACAAGATCACTTTGTAACTGATATTTCCTCCCTGTATACAATTTGCTTACAACATCAGCTTCAAACAAAATCTTAATTGGTGCTGTCTGTCCGACATCGCTGAGCCAAGATCACTAGTTCGCAAATAAATAATAGAAAATAACTTTCGATTGCACGAAAAATTATTGTAGCTCTGCAAGTTTCGGGTATCACCTTTCCCAATAGTTGTGGAGATATTTTACAGCTGAACTTCAGATCCTTAAATGACCTTCCAGTGGCCAGAAAGTTTAAGTTGCTACAAGGCGTTTTTCAGTACTGACACATTCAACTTTTTCCAGCAACAGCGAAAAAGTGAAGTTGTCCATTCTGAGGTAGTTTTTGTAATCATCCTCATGTCAATTTCGTGTCACAATAGTTCACACGATCAACAAATAATTTCTTCATGCAACATTTTTTCTTCTTTTTTTTTCAAATGATAAGGATAACAAATACAATGCTGCCATATTCCTCCTCCTAATTATATTTTTCGTAGTGTTTATTCGATACATTTTTTGGTTAAGCGATGTACACCATCGTGAAAACAAACTAGAACTGAAGTTGGACCGCTGCGCTAGTTGGATAGTAAGTAGGAGCGTGAGTGAAGACGAATATCCAAGTAGTCTATCTTCTAAGTGGGATCGCAAGTTGGAACGTCAATGCACAGTCACAGCACAGTTCTGTTCTACATTAGTTTCTTGCAGCAAAAATACATTTTTTGTGACAAGCAGCACGACGAGTTTGTGTATTCTTATAGATAATAAGGTGGTATATCCGGTTGTATCTTGAGTGACATGCAAATTTCCTTAAGGTTTATTATGCCTATAAGTATCATAAATTATTGTGACATATTTTTATATTTGATTAGTGTAATTATATTTTCAGTTTTTAATAAAGAACATTTACAAACTTTTTACATAAGTCAAAACTAAAATAAGGAAAAGAAATAAAACACAATAAAAAAAGAAAAAAAATAATTGCAACTTCTTTTTCCTCTTTTAGGTATTGGTGGCGTTCATAGAGATGCAGAAAATACATTTGATATTTCAGCAGATTTAATAGAACTTGGCAGATCCAGTGTAGCTGTTATTTCTAGTGGAGTTAAATCAATTTTAGACATACCAAAAACATTGGAAGTTTTGGAAACCCAAGGAGTTTTTGTAGCAACTTTTGGATCATCCAATGATTTTCCAGCTTTTTATGCAAGGGACAGTGGTATAAAAGTTCCTTACTCGGTTCAGAATGCAGACGAAGCTGCCAGAATCATTAGAAGCAACAGGGATATAAATACTAAATCTGGTAAGTGTTCTTTAATTGTATTAACCACTCAATGCATTTGATTCTAATTCTAGATTCATACCTTTTCGCGTGTTATTAGTCCAGTCGTCAGGGAGTTGACCCCTAAAAATCATACGGACAAGCTGAATTTTGCAGAGAATATTAATTTTGGAACTCTAAAAAAGATGCAAAAAAGTTTACCACTTTTACCTCCGGGCTTTCTCCTAAAACCACCCTAACAGTGGTAAAAACACAAAAAAAATCAATTTATCAAGAATCTGTACACCGTAGAAAAAAATGTTTCAAATAAAAAATGTAGCTGACATCATTTTATACAAAATTGTTTATAAGCATTTTTTGTGTGTAAAATGAACCGTTCTCTTAGAAACAGTGCTTGAAGTGACCGTCGATTTTGCATGTTAGTTACTTGCGCGAAATCAATGTTCAATAACATTTGTATCAGCTCAACGGTAAAAATTCGATATATTTTGATCCAAATATCCTATCGGCAAAAATCAAGATGCGTTTTAAAGGTAAAGAGTGTGTCTTTCGTATGCAGTTTTTGTATTTTGACAAGAATAAACTCAGTTTTTATAAAGGTGTTAAATAAATTAACGTGACGCGATTTTTGCCATTTTTTACGATTCTGGTGAGATCAATAAAATTGATCACTTTCAGTGACCAGTTGTAGGTAAAATTTACAATTTTAGAGATCAATATTTAAAACCTATGACATTAAATTTCAATTTTAAGTTGAGGTACCTAACAAATATGAGGCATTTGAAATATGAATAAAAAACGCAGAATTTAATGTTTTACATTAAAAACGATCACATGTCACGGGAAATGCATTTAAGAAGGCGGTTTTGGGTGTAGTTCATTGCAGAAGTTTTGTTCTTTTGAAAAACGTACTAGTATAATTGAAAAAAAGTTTTAAATGTTTTAGATAGTTTTTTGCGTGAAAGTTTAAATCCAGCGATTTTTAAGCATATTTCAAATGCCTCACATTTGTTGCCAAAACTCAAAACTAAAATTTCATGCTAAAGGTTTTAAAGGTTAGGTTAGGTTAGGTTTATTTATTTAACACCTGTATAAAATCTGAGTTTATTTGTGGCAAAATACAAAACTACATACGAAAGCTGCACTCTTTACCTTTAAAATGCATTTTGGTTTTTGTTGATAGGTTACTTAAATCAAAAGATATCGAATTTTTAACGTCGAGCTGATACATATTTTATTAAACATCGATTTCGCGCGCGTAACTGACATGCAAAATTGACGGTCGTTTTAAACGTTATTACTAAGAGAACGGTTTATTTTTGTTCAAAATTATGTCGGCTACATTTTTTATTTAAAACATTTTTTCCTACCCTGTACAGATTATTGGTAAGTTGATATTTTAGCATTTTTATCCCCTTGCGAGGGGTTTTACGAAGAAGTTCGGGGGTAAAAGTGATACATTTTTTCCATCTTTTTTTGGGTCCCAAAAGGTTGGCTTTAGGTTCAGTGGCATTTTCGTCTCTGACGATTGGAGTATATTATGTTTTACGTGTTTTTTTTTCTATCAAAATGTCTGTAATTATTTTTTAAAATTCTTACAGAAATAACCCCTACTTATGTTGATCGTTTTTATAGAGTTAAAAAACGGTAGACCTACTAGATAGAAATAGGAATGATCTGGGATTTATCGTAGGTTTCCGAATAGGATACTGCCACCTCTAGGGGCACATGAACAAAGTCGGACTGACAGGACTGAGGACAGACCGCAGAAAGCGCGAATTGCACACTCTGTCAGGCTGGTGACGAGACGGCGAAACACGTTCTGCGTCTAAATATATTATGCAAAAAAGTGAAGAAAAAAAAAACTCTGATAATTCTGATTTTAGTTAATTATTCAAAACCATATTTTTATTGTTTTTCGATTATCATTCCTTTCATCCAAATTTAAAGTGTATCATTTTAATATATAATAGATGCTTTCATAACTAATCAAATCAATATATTATATCAGCTCATAGAGGTATACCGACAACAGTGAATTTTTCAGCACTGAAAAAATCAAATTGATCTATTAATCTTACATATATCTTGTGATTACTGTGTATATTTTTAATAATACAAGTTTTATTACATCACGATATACAGAAATCCAGAATATATTACACCTATATATATATATATATATATATATATATATATATATATATATATATATATATATATATATATATTTTTTTTTTTCAGGTATGCTCTTCGGAGTTCCAATTCCTGAAGAATTTGCTTTTGACTCAGATGTAATCAATAAAGTTATTGAGGAGGCTCTTCATGAAGCTAAACTTAACAATATACAAGGCAAACTTATAACACCGTTTTTATTATCACATATTGCCAAAATCACAGAAGGAAAATCTCTTCAAAGCAGTATCCTTTTTAAATGGGTTTTTAATAATAGCGATTCCTGATATTAAACTTTTTAAATTTGGTAACGTAACAAAACAGATAAAGCCACATTATGTGGTTTCTGAGTAACACATATACTTACTTAAAAATAACAATACATTTCTAGTTTATTAGGATATGCGCTGATTTATTTCTTAAAATTTGTATACAAATCATTAGCAACTGGAGCATTACGTACTTAAATTGCAGAATGTAAAAAAGAGAATAGTTACAGAAATAATATAAAAACATTTAATGACAAAGTTTTGAAAATAATGAGAATCTTAAAAGTGGTTAATCTGGTCATCTGCTTAACGAAGGTTACCTTGGCGAATTCCCTTTAGTTTAAAATCCATCAACCTAAGGAGCCGAAGAAAAAATATCAAGCTGTAACTTCGTAGATTATTATTTTTAACTATGCGCACTAACGTCATGTGCTATCAATTCAAGATTTTAGCGAGTTCAAAACTTAAAAAGTTGCCTGTCGTAACATTTCAGCCAGAACCTTTATAAAATGTGAGCACATCCAAAACTGTTCGTTCACCAACGTTAACTTGTCGGGAAACATCTGCCGTTTTTCCTATATGAATTTGAGCTTGTACGGGAGAAGCGTTTGTTGCATTATAAGCCCAAAATAGCTTGATCTCCTATATAGCGGATTTGGAAGGTACCTATATATGTATTGTGTACAATTTCAACGGTTTCCAAACGGAAATAATTGTTAGTCGATGGTTATGCATTGGGATGGTTTGTAGCCTTGTTGAAAATTTTTATTTAGTATTCTCCAGATATCTCTTATGGGTGCAGCCTTACTAGTTTTTATAGATTCGTCGCAAATATTTTCAGAGAAGAAAATCCACACTCCAACTCTTACACAAGTTTTCTTTGATGTTTTTGTGTACACCAGCAACAATTAGGATACGAAAAAATGCGCTGAGCTCACATTCAGTAAATGGCTCAAATTTTTTTTTGTGGAGGCCGTTTTGAATCATTTGGTAATCTTCGCGCATTCTTTGTTAAAAGCCTCACATACTATTTTGCGTTTTCTCTTTGTTTCACGCAAAATGTTATCACAAATTTCTGGGTTCATAATTGACTTGAATATTTGTTTCTTCTTCTTCTTCTTCTGCTTGTTCATTGGCGGATTAATACCTCTATGGAAGGTTGTCACTCCCCGATACTTCTTCTGCCGATTGGTGACTTATCTCTTGCTATTTTGACGACACAAATTTTCTTCAGTCTGCTTATGTGGTCGTTCCATTCCTTTTTTCTATTTTATGTCCATTCATTTATACACTGTACGTTACATTTTCTTCTAATGTCTTTATTTCTTAATATTCTGTCTCACTGTCACACTCTCAATATTTGTTTAGGCAGTAAATATTGCTAGTAACTGCAGGCCCACCTTTTTGTAGTAAGATATTACGAGTTTTTGTTTGTACACAATAACTCCATCTTTTGCGAGGTCGTCGGATAATTCTTCTGCCGATTGGTGATTTATCTCTTGCTATTTTGACGACACGGATCTCCTTCATTCTGCTTACGTAGTTATTCTATTCTTTTTTTTTTTGCCCACATTTTTGTACAATAATATTATCAAGAAAAATATAAATTTACTACTAACCTCTTTTATTACTCATTGTTTTGGCCTCCTTGTATTAATTTTATTCTAAGCACACATTATATTTATTTTGACAAAATTCCCATACTAGGTTTTTAGCCACAAATGAGATTAAATTAATATTGTTGATAACAGTATGTTGTAATAGTTGTTTCGAAGTAGTCGAAAGTAATACACCTCGTATAGGTCAAAATAGTCAAAACTAACAAAATAGTTAATAACTTTTTCATTATTTACCGTCAATTTATGTACAATAATATTATTAAGAAAGAATATAAATTTACTATTAACCTCTTTTACTATTACTCATTGTTTTGGCCTCCTTGTATTATTTTTATTCTAAGCACTCAATACATTTACTTAGACAAAATTCCTATACTAGACTTTTTGTCACAATTAGAGTCAAATTAAAAGTGTTGACATCAGTATGCAGTAGTAGTTGTTTCGAAGCAGTCGAAAGTAATACACCTCGTTAAGTAAAATTAGTCAAAACCAATAAAAACGCCGGTTCAGTTATTTTAAAATAAATTACCCATTTTTCCGTTCTTCCTTACCTTTATAACTGAAGAAATTTTAGAATTCGAGCCTATCAGTTGACAAGGTAAGATTTTTATTATAATTCCAGTCCGCTTTGAAAATTTGTTTATAAAATCAACATTTGTCACACCATATTTTTTGTTCGTTGCTGCGATTGTTTTGAATCATATAGGTATTTCGTTGTTGTTTTGCCGATTCAAGTTCAATCATTATTCGTATTTCATTAATTTATTTTTAAAGTAATTGTAATCGGTATATTGGTAGTGTTAAAATCTAATCAAATCGTTTTGCCCTTTTTTTATCGCGTATAGAAAAAACTTGTTCTTTTAACGACATGGCTAGAATTTTGTTTTTGCGTCTGCTTCATGTACGCTTTGCCTAAAAATAGTTATTTCATATTTATTTCAATATAATTTTAGTGATTATTTAGAAAAATATATACTTAACTTAAATTCTTGGGATATTTTGGTTTTTTTCCATTTTATTTTGGCGGCATTGATCATTTTTTGATAGAATTTCAACGTTTATCTGTAAACAAAATGCCTAAAAGTCAAAATGAATTAAAATTAGAAAGATTGCGCACTGAAAGGGAACATATTTTTCGTAGAGTTCAATTATGCAGGGTGAGTAGGGTCGGCCTTACAAAAGAATCAAGAAAATGCAGCAAAACTTCGTAACTTTGCAGTAAGATTACTATTTTGAAAAAACTTTATCAGAATATGAGGAAGTTGTTCAAGATATTTTTGTTTTAAAACAAGATACGGTTCCAGATATTGAGGTTATTTACAATACGCAGTTAGATACCTTTGATAATATGTATTCCAATATTGAATATTTATAGACTCCGACAAAGTTTAGTTTGGGAATATGACTCATAACTCGACGGTGCGCAGTGGTTCTTGTTTACTAGCGTTACCATAGAAACGGCCAGTTTGCAGTTTGCCAGTGTCGTAGTTGCGTATCGCAGAGAGTGTTTGACTTGTTGATTTGATCGTGTTGAATATTTTATTATTTTATTTTATATTAGTGCTTAGTATAATATAGGTAGTAGTAATTAGTGAATTATTAAGTCATTTAGTGTTTAGTTTAGTTTATTTATAGTGTGTTAAGTTTAGTTATTAATAATAGTTATAATATGGCTTCTAAAAAGATAGGAACGAAAGGGCTGGGATTAAATAGCCAAGCAAAGGCAATAATTTATAATGTTACTTCATTTAAGGAACAAGAGGCAACACATATCGAAGCATATTTTGTTTGTTCTTGTTTGTTACTTTTTTTAGATCTTTTTAGATTTTTTGTTATATTTATAAGTCATTGAAGTTATACTAATTTATATTTCTATTTTCACATCTTTAAATGTAAAGTGGGGTGTATCTTTAAATATGTATTTTGCTAGTTTTCAACAATATTCTCCCATTGCTGTTACCATTTCAGTCTAATTTTATTTTTTATTGAGTTAAATATATCCCTTACTGTATAAATATTGCAAAAGACTCCATTTTGCACTGCTTCCTCAGCTAGAGTATCAGCTTTTTCATTCTCTGGTATACATACATGGCCTCTAACCCAAATAAATGTTTTATTTAAGTTTACAATCATGTTTATTAAAAAACATAACATATGACACTTCATTCCTTGAAATTTTGTATTTTTTATAGAGTCTAATGCAAATTTAGAATCTGTTAATATTATTCCTTCGAGTATATTATTGGATGTTAACCAGGTAATACCTTTTATATTTGCAACAAGCTCGGCAGTGTAAATGCTACAAACAGGTGGTAATTTATATTTAAATGATTGGTTTGTATTTTGTATAAATACACCACAACCAACACCTTGTGATTACCTATTTACGATGTTTCATCAGATACTTTTTACTATTTACTTGAAACAGAAAATAACCGAACTCAATATAGATTGTGTTAGTAAATATGATTAATATGCATTTTGTTTGTCAATATTTTCATCTAGTAATATTTAACATTGGTAATTATAGGGATAGAATTCTAGCAGCTACAGGTATAAGTAAAAATACCTTATCCAAAATAAGAACGGAAGGTAGAGAAGTTAATAAAATGGAGCGACTATTTCATATTTTACAAGTCGAAAAAGAAAAGGTTCTCGTGTTAAAAAAACTCAAACTCAAACGCATCTTACCATAATGTACTAATCGAAAAAATGTGACGTCTGCTAGCCGTAGAGATATTACGGTAAAATGGTTACAAGAAAAAAGTATTCCCTTTAAAGAAAATCTGACCAAACCGGAATTATATAAAATTATTCAAGCCAATAAACCACGTTTTCCACCAGTTTATGTGTTAGGCTATAAGCTTGAACAACATGGTCATCAAGTACTTCGCTTGCCTTCTTATCATCCAGAGTTAAACCCTATTGAAAAAATATGGGCTTTGGTAAAAGGTAGAGTGGCCATTCATAATAAAACATTTAATATAAATGATGTTGAAAATATAACAAGAGCAAAATTTTCAGAAGTGTTGATAGAAGAGTGGGCTAACATAATAATATGTAAACACGTAAAAAAATATGAAAACACTCAAATCGCAAGAGAACATTTATTAGACTCTACGCTGGACCACTTAAAATTTTTTATTAATACTGGTTCATCCGAAGAAAGCTTTTCTGATGATGAAGATAGTAATTAAAATTTCGGAATAGACGTGTTTTTGTGTGATATTCCTTTGTCATATAACAAAATATAGTCTTTAAAATCCATATTTTTTTATAAAATAAATACATTATTTAATTTGTTAAAATAAATTACTTATTTTTTTTTGAGTTGTTGAAACCCTTTCTTCCTTCCTGG